GTGCTAATGAAAGTGCATGTGTTTGTATATTATGTGTAATTGACATATTGTACTGTGGACGTGGTTGACTCATACAAGCTTTAGAAAGCTTACCGGGTTGTTCTGTGGTGAACCCGGTGCACTATTCAATGGTGTAGGGGAAAATCCTGCAGGTGGTAGAGACCGTGAGCAGGACAATAAAGGTGAGGAGCAGGAGGCTCGTTAGTGGTTCCACAGAGTGCAAAGTGTGGTGTGAGAGTATTGGTGAGTGTTAGACTTCCGCTGTGTGAAATGAACTCTGAGGAGCAGATTTTGTAATATAATGATTGTTCATTTATTATGTGAGTTTGTAATGCAATATTTGACTCAGAAGAGTTGAGTCATCATTGAGGCACGAGTGTGGTGGGATACGGTGGAAAGATCACAGAATGTGGACCAGATGGATTGGGAAGAATTTTTGGCACTCTTTTACAAGAAGTACTTTCCTGATACCGTGAAAGAGGAATTACAAATGGAGTTCATAAACTTGACACAAGGGACCATGACTGTGAGGGAGTATGAGGCACGGTTTGCTGAGTTGTCTCGTTTTGCAGACCCTCTGAGTGAGTTGCAACAAACCCAGAAGTTTCAAAGGGGTTTGAATGCTTATGTGAAGAAGATGGTGACTGGTTTTCGCCACACGAAAATGGTGGATGTGGTGGAGTGTGCAGCTTCTATTGAAGCAAATAATAATGAGTTTAAGAAGAGTCTGGATGTCAAGAGAGACGCCAAAGGGAAAGGAAAGGCGCCAGCACAAAGTAGCACCACTGGGAATCAGGGAGGTGTTGGTAAGAAGCAGAGGACGGGGTACCTGACTGCGACAAAAAATGAGGCACATGCTAAGCAAGCTGGGCCCATTAGATGTTATAACTGCAATGAGGTGGGTCATCTGTCAACAAACTGTACCAAACCTAAGGTGTATACATGCTTTACTTGTGGTCAGCCAGGACATATTGCTAAGAGTTGCAAGAGTGAAAACAAACCGGGGCAACAACAAAGACAAGGAAATGCCAGAGTCTTTGCAGTGGGTCAAAGGCAGAGGAACACTGGTGTGTGAGTCTTGCCCATTGTTGATTGGTAACAAGGAGTTCCTTGCTGATTTAATTGTTCTGGTTGATAACTCATATGATATGATACTTGGTGTGGACTGGTTACGGTGTAATCATGCTGTAATTGATTGTCATGGAATGTTAGTGTCGTTTCATACTCCTGGGCAAGCGGTGGTTCGGCATAGGTGCATTAAAACTGATGCAACTATGAAGTTTGGGTTTCTAGCTCTTGTGGAAAGAGTAGAACGAGTTCTAACATTGGAAGATGTTCCTAAAGTATCTTTGTATCAGGATGTTTTCCAAGATATTGTGGGTTTGCCTCCAAGGAGGGTAGT